TTCAACAGATGCTCAAACTTCTCCTGTCACACCCTCCCCATACCAGTAATACAACCTGTCTGTAGCCCTCTCCCCATTATTGCATAATTGGTGTAGTAAAGGAGCTGGGGGTGAAGACAGAACTGGGGGCAACAGTGAGGATGGTGTAAAAGCTGGATCTACAGTTGGAGCTTGGCACTCATTGAAAGACCTGACTTTTTTAAAATTCAACAGATAATTCAAAACCATAGAGAAGGGAGAGAGAAATGGGGAGAAATGTTACTGAATACGCAAATTGTGAAATCTCTTACTTTTCCAAGTGTTTCTCCAGATGAAGTAAAGCATTCATAAGGATGCTACTCAAAAAAGAGTATTAAATAAGACTGTAACTGTATGGCAAAAAATGTTAGGTAGGAGAATAGTTTTTTTAAGATGTTCACAGTTATTATGCATTAGGAAAATGTATGACTTATATACTGTGCATAAAATCCAAACACTGGAAAAAATGCTACTTTTCAAAAACCTACCTTCTTTTTGTCCCTCATTGAGCCCTTTCCTCGGACCATTATTTTGCATCCAGTTTCTGCTTCTAGCTGTTTAGCTGTTAGTCCTCTGGGACCAAGGATTCTTCCCACAAAATTAAACTAGAATAAAGAAATACAGAAAAAAATCTTTACTTCTCTTTAAATACACCAATCGCAAAATTATTCAAAAATAAAAATACATTTACAATTTTAAGATGTTAGATGTTGCACAAGAGCTTACACTAAACCCCTTAACTAAATAAGACAAGAATGCTAACATTTGTTAAGTAAATCAAAGTTTTTTTTTAACATATCTTGGACTTATAGTGAGGACCCTCTGTACTGCTGAATAGCAGATTTCCAATAATACACATTATCAGGAATTAATTTAGTTTTAACAACATGTAAGCTTTACAAATTTTATTTTATTCTTACAGTAATGTTTGATCTGGTACTTCCTACTTTTGATTAGATTTACCGTTTCATAAATCACCTGAAAGGAGTTCAGACAGATCTGATTTTTAAACTAACATACAGTAAAATCTTTTCCTTTAATAGGTTCATTCTTTTGCCAGGTATTAGTTGCTTTTAATTTCACTTCAATACTTTGTTTCAATTCCTGTGCATTTTGGGAACACACAAAAGGATATTTTAAAAACACATAAGAAGAGAAGCTACTTGCTAAGGTTGTTAAAATATGATTATCAGACTAATCGTATAGTCAATACAATTTGCATCAACTATACGATTAGTTAATAGGACTGCTCTGCAGAGCTGCAACAGGGGTAGCTCCAGGAGCCGGCTCAAGGTGTGACTGAGCAGTCCACCTGCCAACTCTGGGAGTCACCCAACACTGTGGCTTACACTTATGCAATAGTCGACTGGTCACTTACATCCCTACTACCAAACTTGCTGGCCCACACCGCAGTCTAAACCTGAACTACATATCTTAATTTTATATATTGCTCTCACAGCCCTTCAGTGTCACTAGTAAGTCGTAATTTTAGTTGTACAGGCAGTCCCCGAGTTACGTGGATAACGGGGATTTTCTCGCTCCGGAGGACTGGAGCGGCGGGACGCCCAGATGCGCCGCGGTCCGCCACCCCCGTCCTCTGGGGCGAGAAAAGCTGCTCCCCGTCTCCCTGGTCTGCAGGGAGACGGGGAGCAAAGCCTTGGAGCACGCCCGCAGCGGGACAGCCCGGGCGCGCTTGAGCTGTCCCCCTGCGGGCATGCTCCGCGGCTTTGCTCCCAGTCTCCCGACCAGCAGACCAGGGAGATGGGAAGCAAAGCCTCGGAGCACGCCAGCAGTAGGACAGCCGCGGCGCGCCTGGACTGTCCCGCTGCCCGCGTGCTCTGCGGCTTTGCTCC